CTTGAAAATCGAATAATCAAACGAGCTATACTAATGGAAGCATTCTTACGATTTGTTATATCATTAAAAATTGTGGCCGTAAAAGGGACGAGCTCTATAGTTAATAATAATACAATTAATCTTAAAATTTTTGAAATTAAAGAAAATAAAGATTCGAATATAAGCATTCTTACGCATATTTGATTCAATATAAGGCATTCTAATGTATCTTGGACTACCAAAATAACTTAAAATATTTGGAATTATAATATTTCTAATAGTTCTACTGAAACTCCAAAGATATGTCTACAAATTTCTTAAAAATATAAATTTATCAAATATATCATCTTTAAGAATGATCAACTATACATACAATTCTATCGTTTTGAGGTTGGCCTATATAATATTGATTTTTAATAAAATTGGAATTTTCAAATGGAGTTGGTGTACCAGCAAGATCTTGAAGATTATTATCATATTCTAAATATTTATTCATTTAATTCCGTGTTAATTATTAATAAAATCATAAAACGAAGAACTGCCATCAATTTTTAAAACCTTACCACTATCAAGTGCTGACATAACCATGGCAAAACTTTGAACAGAAGCGTTTTACATAGGATCGATGATAAATATATCAAGATCAAAAAGAGTGGGCCCTGTATCAGAATTTACTACGTAGTCTGATAAAAATGCTCCAGAATAAGACAAAATATTATTAGGATTATATTTTGGCGCTATGATAGATTCACTACATTCACGATATCCTAGAATAATTTGGATTAGGTATATTACGCGGATAATGTGACATGAGACATGAAACCAATTATTAAAATATTTACCTTCGGAATCATTATTAAGGTTTTGCATAGTACATAAAATGGTAAAATTATAATTATGAGCAAAATAGATATCTGTATTGAATTAAAATTTTTTTTTTTTTTTACGTTATTCCATAAATTAAGATTATTATTTTTAATATAAAAAAAAAATTTTTTTACGTGGTATAGGCACACTATCAACTGAATTATAAGTTGTTTTAATGCTAGGTAGCTCGTTATACACTTCGATAAATAATACTATAAATATAGCAATTAATAATAGTATGGACACGATGGTAACGGAAAGTCGAAAGATTTTAATCGACTTCGGCTCAGCTCTATGCGGGTTTCGGAATAAATCAATAAACATTTTTTTGTTTATTATGTTTCAAGTTTCTCACAAGAAAAAAAACCAATATCTATTCCAATAATCGACTCTTTATTGCTTCTTTAAATATTGACGATCTGAAGTTTTACACATTGCAGAAATTTGACCTAAAAATGCTTAATACGGTAAATTTTTTCCATCAATGGCTTGGCATTCTATATATGTACGTACGTACGTACGCACGAAGTCTCCGGCAAATTCTTTAAGTAGAAACTTTGATTATTATAATGCTTATCTAAAAGTAGAATCATGTAAAATTTAGGGGAATTTACACATCGGGACCCAAATTTGAAAATAATTATGAATGAGTAGTGATGTAAAACGGCTCTGCAGAGCCGTGAGCCGATCGGCTTAGCCGAGCTAATTAAC